ACTATCTGACCTTATGTCGATTATGCTCCCTTACTCAGCGTTACTCATCACTCAGTCAGCGTCCTCTGGACGTCACATGCTCTCTTCTTATACGCTTACTCATCGTCCTCCCCAGTAGTATATAAGGAGGACTCTGCAGGCCTCTGCTCTTCAGTCGTTCTCTCACAGACTGAAGAGTAAGTCCCACACTACCTATGCTTCCTTACATGTTTACTTACTAGTACTTGTAGCCTCTCTTTGTGCGGCTTACAGGTACAGTACTATGCAATCATAGTCGTTCTCTCACAGACTGAAGACCTCTCTTTGTGCGGCTTACAGCCTTCCAGGTTCAGAGTTCATCAGTGTCTGCATCGCCTCCTCCGCCTTTGCGATCTCCTCCTGCGCTGCCATCTTCTCGTCCAGTTTCGCCAGGTTTTCGCCCTCGGACTTGATGATATCCTCGTAAGCCTTCAGCCGCTCCTCCATCACCCTAAGCTGCTGCTCGTCGAACTGGATGCTGCAAGCCACAAGAGTCAGCACTAGAACCCCTCGCACCAGCAGACACCAGAAAAAAAGACCTACGCATGCGTAAGACGCGCAATCTGCGTATCGAATTACAACCACGCCTCGCTCTCCGCCTACGCCACCTTCAGCTGGCGCTCCTCGTACTCGCGGATATTCGCAACCCCGATCTCCTCGCAAAACTCCTCGAAAACGCCGTCCTCCGTCTCGTTGACGACCGCCACAAGCGCATCGATCTTACCCTTCATGCTGTCGTACACCGCCTGCGCCTTGCACAGGTCTGGCTGCAACGCGCAAATCTCGCGCTCGACGTGCTTCAGCTCGTCCTTGATGCCCGACAGCCTTGTCTTGTTCGCTTTCTGTCCGTGTACAAGTGGTCAGTATCCTATCCGATCGCTACGAGCGGGCGGGCACGTACTTGGTCGTCGCGCACGACGTGCAGAGCCGACTCCAAACGGCTGATCTCCGCGATGAGGACCTTGCTTTCCTTGCCCCGAGGCATTGACTTGCCAAGCTCGAGAAGCTGCGCCAGCAGGTTGTCGCGCACGCGCTGGAGGCCTGCAAACACGTCAGTCGTATCCTTCCATAAGCTCCTATAGTGTACCCTACCTTGCACATCCTTCTCTTCCCATTTCTTGCCGTTCTGCTGCGAGCTCTTACCACCAGTGATGAGACCGCTCTGGATGATAGTTCCCTCTAGTGTAACGGCTGCAAAGGACTCTGATCACTGATCAGCTCTCCCGCAGACCACGTTATCATATGCGCACTTTACCTTTCACCTCCTGTCCCTTCTCGTACCACACATACCGCGCGACCTCCATCGAGTCGCACACGAGCGCATTCCCACACGCATGATGCATCACCCTCTTCACTGCCGGATCGTAATGTATAACGTCCACAGCCAACCTCGCACCCTTGGCGAACGCGCGGAACTTGTCGTTCACGGGCTTGACCTGGATCGTATCGAGTGGGATAAATGTTGCCTGCCCCGCGCGCTGGTTGCGCATGCACTTGATGCAGTCGATCGCCGTCTTCTCCTCGTCGACCACGATTGCGTCAATGTTCTGCCCGAGCACGACCGCGACGGTCGACCGCTGTCTTGTACTTGCGCTGCGTCGGCTTGCAGAGGTCCACCACGCGTCCGCGCACCCCAGGAAAGATTTGCTGCAGGTTCACAAGCGTTTCTTTGAGCTGTGTCTCGCGCTGCGACTCCTGCTGGTCCACGCCCGCCTGCGTGAGCTTCTCGTAGATGTCAACCAACTTCTCGTTGACCTCCTTCTCAAGTTGTCTGTGTAATTGTCAGCTCTGCGGTCAGGCTGTTTGGCCAATGAGACATACTCGATGTGCATGCGCTCGGACGGCGGGTCTGAATTGCCATGGTCACGATACGTACTCGATACGCATGCGCTCAGACTCCTGGTTGTCGTGCCTTGGTTATCGTGCTCCTGCTTCACGCGCTTGAGTTCTGCCGTCAACTCGGACACCTTCTCGTCGAGCTGTAGTTATTTTAGCGGCCATGTCTCCAACCCAAGTTTGAGAGATATTTACCTCTGCCTTCTTCTGACTCTGTGTGCGGTCCTCTTCCGACGACTTGTCGCACTTCTGTGTCAGCTGCTCGAGCTTGTCTTTGGGCTGCGCAAGTGTGCGGCCCGCCGTCTTCTCGTCTCGTGACAGTGTCTCGAGCGACTGCCTCTTGTCGACGGCAAGGATACTCGCGCTTGCTTTACTGTTGCCCACCGAGGTTAGCACGGCCTGAATTCGTTAGCCGCATGAAGACCTACAGTCTCCGGTACTCCTCCAAACTCTCTTCACTCAGTGATAGGTTAGTTTGCGCCGCGCGGTGCTGCACCTCTGGGAGGATGTCAGGGACTTTGGCTTATTAGGGTACTTGGTTGCATACCTTGGGCCGCGTTTGCCGCTCTTTGCACTGTCTGCAGGTTCTCTTGTAGCGCCTGCAGCTTCCGCCGCTGCTCAGCTTCGGTCTGCTGGAGCTTCTCTAGCTCCTGCTGTGCCTTCTCGCGCTTCCGTTCGGCGTGCTTGATCTGCGCCTCGATTCGGACTAAGTCTGGGCGCTGTATGTACGTTAAGTATTATGCAAGACGCAATGGTCCTCCTGCACGGGCGTACCTTGGTCTCTAAGGCCTTCTCGGCCTTCTTGATACGCTTCTCCTTCTGCATGACGTTCGACCGCGCCCTGGCTTGCTCAGCGCGCGCATCCTCGAGTGCCTTCTCGTCTTTGCACTGCTCCGCACGTAGACCTGCGAGCGTCTGGTTCTGCTCCTTGATAGCCCGAGCATGCTCCTCGAGAGAGTGCTGGATGTGGTAGAGCTTGAACAGGATGCGGCGGAGCACGAGCTCGTCCTATAGCAAGCCTCAGCGATATTGCACGACGTACAGACATAATAGCAAGGCATACCCACTCCTGGCAAAGTGCCTCGAAGTGTTCCGCTTCGCCCTTCTGCTCCTTGTACTGCTTAATCTCGCCCGCAATCCCGCGGCGCTTCGTGAAGTTGAACGTCGCGTTCTCAGTCGCGCGTTCGAGCACCTCGCGGGCCTTCTCATAATCGGGCGCGAGCTCGAGCGAGCCGGAGATCTGGTTGATGAGCCGCGCGAGCTCCTTGGGCGACTGCCACGCGACGGCCTCGACGTCGCCTTGGAAGACGAGGAAGTTCTTGGCCTTCACGAGGATGTTGTGCTGGATGAGTGCGGCGTTGTACGCGGAATACGTGACGACGTGGTTGTTCAGTTTGTATTCGGACGCTCCGGTCGTCGAATTACTGGGGAGGGATCAGCATCAGCACAGGCTCGCGAGCATACACGCTCCGCCGACGCGAAGACGAATGTATGCGCGCGTTTAAGCGCAAGCTGGAACTCACGTTCGTTGGAAACACCATTCCTTCTTGTCCGCGTCCTCGTAGACAGCGAGAACCCACGCCCTGGTTGCCGTACCCTCGCCTTCCCCCTCGCCCTCCTCTTCGTCGTCCTGCTGAGGCTGAGAAGGACCAGCGCCCTCCCCATCTGGGTTTCGGGCGAGTCTACGGCCACGGTAGACGAGGTCCTTGAGCTGGCTGGAGCGGAGCTGGGCAGACTTGACTCCGAGAACGAAAGAGATGGCATCCATGAGGTTGGGCTTGCCCGCGCCGTTCGGGCCAATGGAGGAGGTGAAGTTGCGGAAGGGGTCGATGATGACCTGGTGGGCCGCAGTATGATTTGAAGTCGCAGACCTCGATGCAGATGAGCGGCATCGGAGGAGGAGAGAGGGAGGGGAGACAGAGAGGGAGGAGGGACAGAGGGTTTGGCCTGCAACGGGGCGATGAGCAACTTTGCGGACTTGGGGGTCGCCCTGCCTAGACCAAAAGGTGCCAGGAGAACCACATCCCCGGGCAGGGATCGCCCTCCTCGAGTGAGGAGGACCAGTGCCCTGCCAGTCCTGAAGCTGAAGAAACATCGATGTTGGAGGAGATGGCAGTCGCTGATCATGGGCGAGCGCTTGATGCCTGAACGTTGAACGTTGAACACTTGCTGGTTCGTGTTTGATTTTCGCACGGTTGACACTTAGCCCTCCTCCCAGTCCGCTCACAGCTACCGACTCGGACTCCCAAGACGCCACACGAAGCTGCTCTAGGCTGAGCATTTATCTCCGACTTAGGCTATGCCCGCTACCACCATGTTGCTTCGCCAACAAACCCTATGTCCCGCGTTCCAAAAGAAATGCCGCAGTGCAGGCGTGAAAGACGAAATCCCCAAATGTGTTGTGTGTACTATGGGGAGGAAGAAAAAGGCAGAGGAGGACGTTTGTCGATTCAAATGTGGGTGCATGCTTGTTTTATCACAGAGTTCCCATTAATCCTGAGCAGACTGGCGCACAATATCCATCATCGCTGAGGATAAGTACACCATCAAGTTCAGCGACACGCAAGATGGCACACACGAACAGCCCGACCTCCGGCAGGTATATCACGATAAGCACGACAGCTGGAGCGTCCAGTATAAGCGGGTATGTGTCTTCCGCAATGTTTGTGCAATGAATGCTTAAATGAATCAAGCTGGTCTGCGCCACGCACCTCTCCCCGATTTTGGAACAAGAAGTGCGTCAATATGCAGCCCTCCAAGTGCTGTATAAACATCGCGAAGTGTCCGTCCGCGTTACTTGCGGTTCGTTGCTTTTTTGGTCCAAAGGACGTCTTTCTGATCATCCTGTAGATCACTGTCAAACTTGCTTGTTCGCGTTGAGCTGGTTTTGCGCGGTATGCGGCGCCGAGTACTGCTCAACATGCACGGGATCGGTTTCTGGCCCTGATGTGAGCCCAACGTTGCTCTTCAAATAGATGATACTCAGAAGTCACATGCAGCCTCCTGCAATATGTCATGCTCGGGAAAATTGGATCCCGATCTCCCGATTCTCTTTGGACGAGCTGCGCAAACTCATCTCCGACATGCAAGCCCATCTGGACCTCCGAGAAACCATCCAGCGATTCATGAATTCGCCCATCCCTCCACTCAGTCCGGGCATCCTGGGCGGACATTCCATAAGTATTCTAAACAAGCGAGCCCTAACCTCCCAGCTCTTCAGATCAATCTGGACCAAAAGAAGACCTTTCGTAGTCACCCAAGTCCTCGATGACTCCCAGATATCGTGGACTCCGCAACACCTGTGCAGCAAATATGGTACCGAACCCTGTGAAGTAGAGGACTGTGAGGGATCCGGCACGACTAGCGTTTCGACGGTGGGGAAGTACTTCTCACAATTCGAGATCCCGCGCAGCAACCGGCATACCATCTATAAGCTTAAGGTATGCCGCTGTAGAATCTCGATGCTTCTACAGTGTACATGACATACACTGTGATACAGGACTGGCCGCCCTCTGAACGCTTCGACTCTGTACATCCTGAACTTCACGCGGACTTTGTCAAAATCCTTCCTGTCCCAGACTATACAGCCCCCTCAGGAAAGATGAACTTGGCATCACACTTCCCCCTCAATAGCGTAGCCCCCGATATCGGTGAGTGGCTGTTGTGAAGAGTATTCAGTGTCTGATGTATGAGGTACTGCCGCCAGGCCCGAAACTTTACAGCGCCCTCGAGTCCCTGCTCGATGACAAACATCATGGGTCGACAAGACTGCATCTCGATCTAGCGGATGCTGTAAACATAATGACTTATGCTGGACTCGCCGCAAATGGACTGCCGGGTTACGCCACCTGGCACATATTCAGAGCCGACGACGTCGAGAAGCTGCGCGAATATCTTTCGGCGAAGCATGCAGAGGGTGATATCTTAGGAGACGTCATCCATAACCAGCAGACTTTCCTCTCGCCTTCCATGCTCCAAGAACTTCGTCAGAAGCACGGTGTCTATCCATACGTAGTGCAGCAGCATGTGGGAGAAGCAGTTTTCATCCCAGCCGGCTGCGCCCATCAGGTACGTGTCATGTGCCTGGAACAATGCCTATGACATATCTCCTTTTCTAGGTTTCAAACCAGGCCGACTGCATCAAAGTCGCATGCGACTTTGTGAGCCCGGAATCTATCCCCACGTGTCTGCACCTTGCGGAACAGTTCAGGCTGCAACGGATGGCTCACGAATGGCCTCACGACGTCCTGCCAGTGGAGTTGTTGCTGTACTACTCATGGCTTTGTTGCGAAACAGTCGCACTGTACGTCATCGCTAAAACAAGTTGCTCTCTACACTCACCATGCATACAGGACAAAGTGCTCGAGCAGTCCTCCGGAAGCCCCCTCGTTTGCTTGCCCCATTCCTCAATGTTCTAAAACCTTCAAGAATGCGATAGCACTGCTCGACCATGTGTAAGCCTAAGCATATCATGCCAATAAGCTTATGCTTACTGTTTATGCTCCCTATCTGCAGCAACGACTCGCACAACATACACATGAGGAATTCAGAGAAGAAGAAGGCAGCTAAGTGGACTCCGGGACAGGCTAAGGTAGCAGTGTTGAAGGCACAGAGTAAGAAGCAGGCAAGGACATGATGTCCCTCTCGACTATCTTGTATTATCTGCAATGACACGCAAGCCACCGCATGGGGCAAAGATCATCGAGTTCACGCATTCGCAAGGCCAGAAGGTCACAATCCAGCTCGTGCACGCGTGCTGCAAAGTCTCCACCCTCACACCATTTATGAACTCCAGGCGCCTCGCAGACGAAGCAGCGGGCGGGTAGCCCGACGATGCTAGCACTACTATCCCGTTCGCGGAGCAGTTCCCGCGCCGGAAGGTGCTCACGAAGGAGGGCATCAAGAGAATCGTGAATTGCTTCGTGGACGCGGCGATGCGCGCCCTGCATGTGGGCTTCGATGTCATCGGCGTGCACGGGTCCCTGATCAGCTCGTTTTCGAGCCCGACGAGCAAGGACCGCACGGATGCGTATGGCGGGGACTTCGTGAGCCGAGCCAGGGCGGTGCTCGAGGTCATTGACGTGGTGCGCGCGGTGAACTCGCCGACGATGCCGCTGCTGCTCCGCAACAGCGCGAGCAAGTGGCTTACAGTAAGAGGTGTACCCGGACACGTTGTCCTGGCGCTCGGAGGACACGGTGCGCCTTGCGGGACTGCTCGTGGAGCACGGCGTGGACCTGCTGGACGTGCAGTCGAGAAGGAATCATCTCGCGCAGAAGATCAAGACAGGGCCGACGTACCAGGCGCATTTTGCGGAGGCGGTGAAGAAGGCGCACGCACCACCACTGTTGCCGGGCGCGCATCGGACACCAACCAAGTCTCGACGCTTCACCTCTGCATCACTACCGCGATGCCCACAAACCACCCATTTGAGACCGAGCATGTGTACGAAACGAGATATATTAATGCGTACACAGTAGTCCCTACCATCTGCCCGCCCGCCCTCTGCCACTTGCACACCGCCTCCAACATGCGCCCGCACTAGCCTCACATTCGCTGTCTCTCACTCGGCTGCTCACCCTGCGCAAACGCCAACATGCCTGCGTCCTCCACCATCGCCGTGTTCACCCCCGCACCCATGTCAGCGCCTGCCTCCGCCTCGCAGTGCTCCTCAGTCGCCCACTGCAGGTACGCCGCCGTGTTCTTCTCCGGGTCGCGTGCCAGCGCTTCGTCCATCTCCCGCCGTGCCTTTGGTGTGCTCACAGGCGGCGCATATCGTGCAACGACGACGCAACCTCGGGCACGGCGGAAGCGACGATGGATCCTGACAGTGTGTGGCTCGACACGACTCAGACGGTCAGAGGCGGTGAACGGTGGAGCATGACGTTGTCGGGCATGGATTTCCCACCGAGCTGGACCGCCCCAGTGTCGTCCTTGACGGACCCCCGCCCGGTCATGCCGATACGGCTGTGCGAGCAAGGAGACGAAGACCTTCTCCAAGCTGGGCACACACACCCCCAGCCCTGAGCCGGAGAGCGCACCCAGAACCGCCAGTAGCCGTGAACGCAGGCGGGTTGCTAACACGCCGCGGTCCGTGCCCGTAGTGGCACCGGGCAGAGACATAGGACGCAATGGTAAGCGACACTGATGTGCGGGCGGGTACACAGATCGGAGATCGTACTGCAGCGGTCATCTCTGTATGGTACAGACACGATTGTGCGCAGGGCCTGTCCGCCACCACAAAATGATGCATTCGCTAGTGGGTAGGGTTACCAGGGAGGGGTGGACCAAGGGTGTACGTACTTGTCTCTGTGCGATGGCGCGAGCTCTGGGTGTGTGTGGGCGTGCAGAGGCGCGGGTGGTGGTGTTGGAGACCCGCTGGGGCCGCAAAGAGAACGTGTCAGGTGTGTGTGATGAGACAGGACCTGCCTGAAAGCGAGGGCGTATAAGAAGAGGCAGGAGGATGCAGGAGGGAGGGCAGAGACGAACAATGTGCTTGCTCGTAAGCTCTTCCAGTCAACTCCCCATCCTTTCCATGTCTCCTCCCCGTTCGTCTTCGCCGCCGCAGCCGTCATCGACGCTGCCCGCGCGTTCGTTCTCCCTATGATGATGTAGACAAGGTGAGTATCTGTATAGCAGGTAAGCAAGTTGGTGTGCTTTCTGTCTGATACGGTTGTTGACATTCGAATGCGCAGGTAACGGGCAGGCAGATGAGTATGGCGCTGTCATTGCAGACGTATTGAGTACGTGCGCGGTGTGTGCCGATCGAGTATGCCGCTAATGAGAACAATCATAACCTGGAGACTTCCCGTCAGCGGCTCCTGCTCCCCGGAACCGACCTGTATGAACTCTGCATGGACGTGTCGTGCGAGGAAATCGTTTTCAAGGTACGTCTTCTTAGCAGCGCGCGCGTGCCCGAACAAAGCCAGAGTTGGCATTGTCAGTTCCGCAGCGGTACACCCGCCCGCCCGCTGCTTCATAAGGTCCCGATGATTGTGATTCAGCCTCGTGTTCACGCCTCATCTTCATCCTCGTCCATCTCCTCTGACATCGTCTGCAGGCTTATGGGCAACCTCTGCAGAGATACGCCGACCCTTGCCAATCCATACGCGGGCGGCGTCGCCAGCCGAGTCTATGAAAGGCTGTCAGCTAATGCACGAATCTCTACAGCGAGTACGCATGTGTACAGGCATGTGCGTCACCGCGTAGCGGAGGAACTCACTTGCATGCGGCGCGGGCGGACGATATGGTGTTCGCGACGGGCACCTATTCTGCGGACATGCGAATGGAGGCCTCAGGCTTGTCCTGCGAGAACGACGGCGAGGTGTTCGAAGCGACCTCTATAGCGACTAGTAGAACTATATATCATTCTGTATGCGTAGAATCAGCTTTGGGAAGCGTATGTAGAGATATACAGACCAAGATATGAGCCAGGAGCCATATACTTGGGCAGTGTGTTCGTTCAAAGTGGCCGCCGCACGAGAGCTATCTGAGCCGAAAGTTCATCGTTAGCAGAAGGTAAGGATACAGAAATGGAGTGATACAAACGCTTTCCCTGCGTGCAGTGAGGAGTTTCGCAAGGCACTTTGTTGGTCCATAGCACCCGCGCGAAGCGAGCTGTATTCGCGCCGACGGATGCACAAATACGACATGGCTGTGTACAGTGCTATAGCAGAACACTAGAAGGAGGGGTGTGGTAGAGCGAGAGATATTGACGAAGCATGCGGGCACGCCTGCAAGATCTGGCACTGGGTGAGGGAGAGAGATGGCGGGCAGAAGGGAATATCGTGTGCGTCATAGTCCCCCTCAGCGCGGCAACTACCGGGCGTCTCCCCACGCCCTACCCCGCGCAGTCCCCCTACTGAATAGTACTCCTCCTCGTCCCCTCACACAAACGTCGACATGCGCGCGTTCTCAGGCCCAGGTATCGTACCCTAGTGGCGCCGCACCACCGCAATCTGAAAGTCACACCCGCCAAGCACATACTTGAACTCCAGCAGCCGCTTCATTTCGCTCCCCACCTCCTGCTCGTCTGTCACCACGTAGATAAAGTCCGCCGGGGACAGCAGCGACCGTAGCAACGACCCCGTGGACGCATCTCCTGGGCAGCAGACTGATTCGTGGACGTCTCGAGGTACGTGGATCTCGCATGCATTGTGCACCGCTAATCTACGCACCTCTAGCTGCACACACGCTCCCCAGACCGCCCAGAAATCTCCCGCACGAGTCGCCAGAATGAACCCGATCTCCACGCTCAAAATTCCCCGCAATGCGCGAGATCTCGCGCTGCTCAACGGTCCTATCGTGTCCTAAACTCGGGCATCGTCTGTGCGGCGAGGAGGCGGTCAAACGACCGCTGGAAACAAATTGTGAGTTCGCTGTAGGGCGCACAGTGGAGCCTGCATCGCTGACCTCTTGTCCCATGCAAATCCTAGCTCTCGGACAAATTCGCGCCGCTCGCAACGCCGCAAACACTCCCGCAGGTCCCAGGCGAATGTCTGTATGCTACCCGCAAGTAAGCAGATGTTAGGCCTCCGCGTTCGCGCTACTTACCTCTCTGTAGTCGACGCTCCTCTAGCTGCACACACGCCCTGCAGAACACCCAGGATTCTCCCAAATGATTCGCCCAAACAAAGCCCGCCTGCGCCCTGAACGGCTCTCACCGCGTCCTGAACTCGGACATTGTCTGGGGGGATGGAGGACGATGAAACGACCCCCGTAAATATTGTGAGCTCGCCATAGGGTGCACAGCGGCTAGGCGACGACCTCAAAGATGACCGTGTCGCGGCCGCCCCTTGGGTCCAACAGCCGCGAAACTTGGTAGGTACACACCCGTGCGCGTTCCCCGTTGTACCCCATTGCGTGCAGCCGCACACGACGAGTTCGATATTCGGACTTTTTGCGCTGCCGGGCTCAACTACGCGTCAGCGAGCAGATCTCGACCTCGCCCCTCCGCCCCCTCGCCCTGTCAAGCCTGATTGCTTGGACTCCTCATGGACTCCTCACCGGGGACCACGGACACAACGCTCACGACACCGTGGCGCCGCCAGCGCGTGCGGGCCCCGCGAATTCGCCGCCCACCTCCGGCTGGCTCTCTGGCACGCCAGCATCGCGTCCAGACCGCTCACAAAGCCACGACGTGTCCCCTGCGCCAGGGCGCGTCCCCACACTGAGTATCACCGCAATCCGAGGAGGTAGAAATGGTCGACCTTGGGGTGATCTCATGGGCGAACGTGCAGTGCGATCAGCGAAATGCGCAGGCAGCGTACATATGCCTTCTCCCGCACCGCCGTTCTGCAGAGGCGCTTGTGTGCACCCCCTGCGTTGAGCTGCGTTGTGTGCGAGCGAATGGGACGAGGTCTACTTCGCAACTTCGCGGGGAGGCACGGGGGATCGCGTCGTGGGCCAGGTCGATGTGTCGGCCGCGGGGTCCACCGAGCCCCGCAAGTGAAGCACTCCCCGCACGTACCGCTGGGGCGGTGTGGATGCTGCCCAGACATCGTTCGCATCCGCGGACACTGCGTGGCGGGCGCGTGAGACTGAGGTACGCAAACACTATACCTTATGTTGGCCCGTACTGACCGCACGGAACAGATGGGACTCACCAGTGTCTCCGCCAGTTGCAGACGGCCCTCGACACGCAGGGCACTCCTGGGTGATGAAGCTGCGACTGCTGCTGCCCCGACTATTGTCCCCTGCTGCTGGAGAGGGCTTGAGGCTATGTACGCAGCTACGCAAAACCGTAATATACGTGTCTCCAGGTTCTCCGCGCCGTCTGATCTCCACGCCCGCCCTCGTCTTCACCCCGCCCTCGCATGTGTATGCGGTACGTGCCGCGGCGAGCGGGTATCATTGTGTCCTGTAGAAGGCTGCGACGTGCAAGATCAGCACTCCGTTCATCTGCGCAAGAATTGGGATACTCACCTTTGTGTACAGCAGACTTGATTCAATCAGCCGCATGCAGCGGAGAGTCAAGAGCGCAGCTGATGTGTAGGAGGTCAGTCTTCCTGCACCTGCGCAAGATCTGGGGCCCTCACTTTCGAGCGATGCAGGTTAGTCTTGGGCGGCTCAAGCAAGGGCGACCTAGCGGGGTGAGCAGTAGCGTTCAGCAGGTGTGTCGGTGATGAGCTGCCTCACCGTGTGAAGACTCTTGTAGACCCCACAAGTTACCCGGCATAATTGCATTCCATCGAGATGGCAGGGCGACCTCGACGAGCATCCGCCACACAGCGGGCGCCCTCTCGGGGGGGGGGAGCATGTCCCAGAGTACATATATGGTTCCGAGGCGGCCGCGTGCAACGAGCTCAAAAGCACAGAGCGCACAGGGTTGTACTGGTCAAGTTGTAGGGTACAGATACCATTATATCACGCTCTACGGCGTTTCCTACTGGACTCAACGTTACTGATCTTGCTAGGGCTGAGAGGCAGATGTTCAGTGTCATCTCGACTGCTCTGTCGCCCACGACGCTTCTTCCCCTTCCCCAGTGTGGAGTCAACCTGGCTGTGGTTACCCTCCTCGCAAACACCCTCTATATCCTGCCTGTCCTCCTCGTCTTCCTTGCGTGCGGTCTGGGTGATTTTCTGCGTGGCAGTGATGGCAGCCTGACGTCGGGGCCGACCCGTCCCAGTGGCAGTGGTAACAGTCTCCACCACAGCGCTGACGGAGTTGTCAACGAGGACGTCTCCAGACTCCACGTCAGAGCTATCATCGGTGGTTGCTGCGGCCTGACGCAACTTAGCCCGGAGTCGCACATTTGCAATGTGCTTCTCCTGTTTGTCGAGCTGAGCGCGTGAAGGCCGGCGTTTAGCAGGGCGACCGCGCTTGCCCGTGCGGTCCTACAGAAGATGTCAGTCAATGAAGATATATGCAAAGAAGACATGCTTGCCAAAGGAATACGTCCTGGTGGAAGAGCCATATCCGCTGAGAACTGATTTTGCTTGTACATGTGGAATGACGCCATGCCGAGTGTGGTTGACTTCCCCGCAAGTCGGACATCCACAGGCACTTTCTGTGATGTTGACATACTGATTAAAAGATTGAAAAGAATGAGAAGAGAGAGATGCGTACCGGGCGACTGTCATTCCACCCTTTCCCCCACTCGTCTGGCCGCTTTGCAACGATGATGCTGTAGAATTTGGGCGGCTTTAAGGCGGCGCTATACGGGTCGTGATAGACGTGAACGGGGACCATTTTCTTAACCATGCCGGTGGCTAGCTGGTCCGAGATGTTCTTCTCGTAAGGTTCACCTGGGTGGAAAGAATCAGTAATTCAAGGGACGTAGAAATGACCCCTGAAGAACAACTGACCAATGGTATGGTCGGGGTCTAAGAGACCGTTGCTGAGGTACCTGTTGTATAAATCGGCTGGCATGCTGACATCGACCTTGCGAAAGATCCACAGGTAGCTGCGGGTGTAGCGCAAGTCGGCCCAACGATTGAACGCAAAGGCTGAGCCGAGGTTGTGCTGCTGGGCACAATGTTGACGGAATTCCGGGGACACCCACATACTCATGTAGCAGGCGTAGCAGTCCAGGAACCTCTGAAACTCAACATCGTCAGAGCAGAGTATGCAGGGAGGGATTCCGGGCCACAGGGAGCATGTGAAGAGGAAGTCGTTTGCCGTGTGTTTCCCGATGCCGGGGAACGTGAGCTGGTCTGTGCACATCTCATCTATGAGGGCGAGCGACATATCCGCCTCCTCCAACATCTTGCCTCTCCATTGCAGGAGAGCCGCCAAAGCGGCCTCTGGCTCCAGGATGAAGTCGGGGCCATGCTCGGAGTCCCATACGTCTGTCCAGATCTAGAAAGCAGGTTCAAAGATGAATCTCGGAGAAGATAGACAAGTACTCACTTTGGATGTGAGCGGGTCAAGGTCCATATAGTGCCAATGACGTCCGAGACTGAGAATTTCCATCCGCAGGAGACGGGCAAAATCCACCATGATGAAGACTTGATCTTTGCACACGATAGCTGCGAAGATGTTGATAGACTGAGAACCATCGGGGCGATAGTTGTTCGGCTTGTTTGGCCGTGCTCGCAGAGCCTCCGGGACCACAATGTCAGCGGGAATGACGAAGGAGCGGAGACGTTGTGCTTTAGCCTTGTTGACGTTGGGCCCAGGAGTGTCTTGAGCGACAATGGCATCGAATTGTGCCCTTGGTATGACCGTTCCCATAGCCTCTAGGCCAAGGTGAAATCGTATTGCATGCTGGGACAGTCAGCATAGAGATGAGCGGGACAGGGGAGCGGGTACTTACATATCCAGCCGCTACCATTAGCTCCTTGCCCCTGGCGCGTACGAGCACCCGCCCATCCTCGAACGGCTTGAGCAAGTGAGCCCATTCTTCTCCGCGTGAGCGTAGCACATCCCACTCGTTGGGGACGTAGTCGGCGGGGACGGGCTCCATGTCCGGGTCGTAACCGAGATTCTTGACTGTACAGCTGCCATAGTCTCGGGCGTTAGTACCCTCGGCAAAGACCCTAGGGTAGATCCGTATATGACCTGCAGTAGCAAAGGTGAGGTAGGAGGAGGTGTACTACCCAGTGTGTTGAAAGTGCTTACCACGCTGTAACCCTCCGTCTTCTTGGCATTGTCTGAACTGCCACTCGAGCCCTTTTAGGATGTCGATTTCAGGCATGAGTGCGCCAAGAATAAGTCCAGAGGAACACAGAGGGAAGTGAGAGCGGGAAAGAGCCAAGACACGACAAGGTCAGGACAGACACGTCGAGACGCGTCGCGGACGCGCACCGACGCGCTAAGTCACTAAATGTCACAGACGTGACTCACGCCTAACATGGCACCTTCATGGCGGGCATTCCGGGCAGTGTATTGCACCAGACAAACGTCAATGATAGATAGGTCACTTAATAAATGGCACGAATCATTATTCAAGCACATAATAGTGCAAGAGGCCTTGTTCCGCACGACTCTTGCAGAGTGCCGCATGCAGACATGCGAGTCGTGCTTGACTGGATTATTCACTCACTTTGACGCTTGTTTCGGGCTTTAAAATCGTAGAGCATCGACGTTGACAGGGACTATGATACATAGAAACCAATTACATGCGGACCAGACTCCGATGACAGTGAGAAAGCAGCGATTCAAAGTGCGTGACGGCGCAATGGGCTCAGGCGCCTATTCGCCGGTGTAACGCGCCTTGAACGCGCCAGGCATTTTGTTCCTGTAGTCCTCCTGCTCTATGGACCCCTCTCTGTGCTTCCAGCCCTCTCGTAATGTTCTGCCATTCAAAACGTTCAGGAGGCAGTAATGGTCGCTGTCCGCTCGCAGCTGCTCGAGTCTATATGTCTCGTTCCTCTCTTCCACTCTTCTCCCGGCATCGCTCTGCAACCTTACTAGGTCCTCGTCGACAAGCTCGTCGACCACCTCTACGCCGGGGACAAGTCGAAGATTCCCACAGCTGAGTACCTCGCTGCGGCACCTCGCACTCTCCCTGCTGCAATTGCCCCTGCTGTCTCTGGAAACACTGCGACTTATGTCGTTGGACAGTCCGTACCCGAGACTGCGGCATGGCTCGAGACCCTCACGGGCCCCAAGCTTAGCTGGGCTCGTGTGCTGCTCGCCTCTACGACTATTTTGCAGGGCACGGCATACGTCGACAACCACATGCGTCATCTGTTTGCTCCCCACCGTGGGCAGAAGGTCGTCGTCGAGACTGAGGCATCCCGCCCGACGAAGATCTCGGTGTTTGGCAGCGCCCGCTCGTACGGCGAGCACGACCTCTCGAGGCCATCGAGGCCACATTCGATGCCGCAACTTCAACAATTGATGTCACCATCTTCGAGGAGCGCGGCGGGTCATCTGTCCTGCTAGACCTCCACTTTGTCTACAAGCCTGCCATGGGGTACGCGCCCATCCACGGGGTCGCCGATGACCGCAACACGCGGATGAAGGCCTTCTACTGGAAGCTGTGGTTTGGCGACGACGAGGTGCTCCCCGAGATCAATGTCCGCGACACGTTCACTGGCCCGGAGGTCACCATCGACGAGGACGACATCGAGAGCTTCTGCGCGGTTGTTGGAAACCAAGGCGAGGCATTCAAGTCCGCCCGCAACGAGACGCCCTTAGCTCCTATGGACTTCGCCATCGTTGCAGGATGGCAGGTACATAACCACTGTCATACTTCACTCTGACGGATGCTTATGTTCATCATCGTCTACAGGCAATCATGAAGGTGATCTTCCCCGCGCCCATCGACGGAGATCTCCTCAAGCTTGTGCACTTGTCGAACGGCTTCCGCCTTCTTGACGGCGTCAAGCCTCTCCAGGCTGGCGATGTCTGCAAGGCGGAGGCGCGCATCGTCGCCGTCATCAACAGCGACGCCGGCAAGTCGGTCAAGGTCAAGGGACATGTTATCCGCAACGGCGAGCGTGTCATCGAGGTCGTCTCCTCGTTCCTCTACCGTGGCCGCTTCAGCGACTACGAGAACACGTTCGAGATCCTCGAGGAGCCCGACTACCTCGTCGAGCTTCCGTCGGACGCTGCTGTCGGTGTCCTGCAGTCGAAGGAATGGTTCGAGTGGGACGACGAGACCAAGCCCCTCCAGGCTAGCACGACGCTCATCTTCCGCGTCCGCTCGGAGGTCACGTACCGCAACAAGACCTGCTACAAGCCCGTGAATGTCTCGGGCGAGGTCTTCGTCCGCGACCAGATCAAGCGCCTCGTCAAGGTCGGCACCGTCGACTTCCTCCAGGACGACTCACGCGGCAACCCCGTCGTCGCGTACCTCCAGCGTCACGGTAAGCCCCAGGGTCTCGTTAGCCCGCTGTCCAACGATGGCTACACTATGACCGTCAACGCGAGCACCGCGTTTGCATCGCCTGCCACCAACGAACCTTACTCGAAGGTCTCGGGTGACTTCAACCCCATCCACATCAACCCGTACTTCGCGGATTACGCATCCCTCCCTGGCACGATCACGCACGGTATGTGGTCGAGTGCCGCGACGCGTCGCTACGTCGAGACTGTTGTTGCGCAGGGCAAGCCTGAGCGCGTCGTTGCGTAAGTCTGAGTGCCGTCATTCTCGCCGTTATAGTTTCTGACTTATCTTATAGGTACGACGTCGCCTTCGTCGGCATGATCCTTCCCGGAGACGAGCTTGAGGTCAAGATCAAGCACGTCGGCATGCGCGACGGCAACTTCGTCGTCAACGTCGAGACTGTCAACAGCCGCGGCGAGAAAGGTCCTGGCCGGTACCGCGGAGGTCGTGCAGCCCGCCACCGTCTACGTCTTCACTGGCCAGGGTTCCCAGGAGCCCGGCATGGTATGGATCTCTATAACAACTCGCCCGCCGCCCGCTCCGTCTGGGAAGCCGCCGACGCTCACCTTACCGCCGTC